TTAATTCTTTAAGTGAGTATTATATATTTAATTCGTTAAGTGAATATATTAATAAATGTTTACAAATTAATTCTTTTTATATTATCTTAACTATTTGAATAAGAAACTAATAATGATGTTTACAAAAAAATGTTAATTAAAAAAATTAAATATTAAAATAAAAAAATTTATATGTGTGTGTGTGTTTTTTAAAAAGTTTGATCCTCTAAATAATGTGTAAAATATGATTAAATAATAACAACAGCGATCTACCTCTACCCAAAAAAAAAAAAAAAAAAAAACAGCGAAACTAGAGTGAAAATAACGGGACGTAAGAAAAAAACTTATATTACTGGGGGCAGATTAAATAGCTTTTACATATTTTAAAAATTTTGCGAAAATTAACAACTTAAAAAAGAAATGAAAGGCGCTCCACAATTGTAGTCCTTAGATGATGGTATAAAAAACATTTTCACAAAAAAAAAAAAAGTAAAACCAAATTTTATATACAAAAAGCGACATGTGTGTATATATAACTTTTTTTTTAGTACAAATGTGTATATATAACTTGGGATCAATGTTTCTTACCTCACATAAGATAATTTTATATTTTATATACAAATAAAATTATTTGCAGCCTATGTCGGGCCATACAAAAATAAGATAGAGAAAAAAAATCTCACACACATTTATATATGTATAGAAGATAAAAGTATCTTATAATATAAAAATACTAATATCATATAACTTTAATAATAGTAATAGGTTATATTGACAAACTTTTTTTTATAAACATACAAATTACACTATGTCTGACCGGTAATACTCTACTCAAGAGTGTCTAACCGGTAAGACATAGTGTAGTTTGTAAGAGTTTATAAACAAAAAAAACAAATTTTTTTTGGGATACAACAAAAAATTTGTACATATAACCTTTCCGATAGTAATAGGAGATGGTTATATTTACAAAAATTTTGTTTACAAACTGCACAATGTCTGACTAGTCATTTTTCAATCAAGAGTGTATGACCGGTCATACTTAGTGTTATCTGCAGTGTTTTAAAACCCGGCTCGGACCGGTCGAGTCGACCCCGGACTCTGTGACCCGGTGGGTTCCCCCGTCTGAGCGGGTAGTTAGACCGCTTCTGTAGTAAACCCAGATTGGACCGGTTGACCCGGCCGAAACCCGGCGACCCGGTTGACCCGGGTTAGACCGGTTATTTCTTCTTTTTTGGTAAAAAAATTTTTGTTGATAAGAACTCTTGAATTAAATCCTATTCATATTTTATGATGAATATGATTAAAACTAAGGTGAAAATAATAAGATATTTTAAATTAGTGTAGTTCGTTTATGTAATTTAGTTGTATCTTATAATGATCTCATGAAGTTAAGTGGTGATAAACACTGATGGTCTCATGATCTCATCTCAACGGTGGACAGTTTTTTTTAGTGTATATTTCATGCATACTATTTGTTATCATGATAACGGTAACACTTTTTTCTTAGTGTATATTTCATGCATACTATTTGTTATCATGATTTAATTTATCCGTACCATGCCAAGCACAAAAGGTGCATTTAACTTATATTGCAATTTTAATTCAATATTAGGATATGGTCTAGAGCTAGAAGCTTAGAAGTATATAATATTTGTTATTGAAAATCAATTTATTTTTTGAAGCTCATTGATAATTTTCTTATTTGAATTTTTATTAATATAAGTAATATTTTTATATTTTTAATATGTGAACAGTAAAACCAGTTGAATTCGATTGAACCAATGACCCAGTACATCGACCAGTTCGATGATCGATTCGAGTTTTAAAACACTGGTTATTTGTAAAAAAATTTGTAAACGGATCATTTCCCGTAATAATATACTAAAAACAATTATTATTAGAAGTGTTTAAAAACCCGGCCCGGCCATCGACCTGGCCGAGATCAGGGATCACAGAGTCACGGGTTCAACCGGGGGGCCACGAGGTCACTACGCTGACCCGGTTTTATATATTAAAAAATATAAATATATATCCTATATGAAAATATTAAAAAACAAATCACCAATCATCAAAAATTCAAAATATACTTAACATAATTCACCAATTACAACCACAAGTCAAAATTACATAACCTAATTAAAGTATCAAGATACGAAAGTACAAAACTCATATTCTAATAGGGTCACTACGCTGACCCGGTTCTGCCTCTTTTAAGAAGGTCTATGACAAAGGAAAATTTAAAGAAGTAAGAATGAGTTTGTGTTTTCCATCGACGACCGTAAGGATTTTATTTGAATGGATAAAATTCTTACCTTTTTTAAAAGAATCATGGCAGAGAGGTGAAAATTGAAGATGTCTAGGTCGCTGGGAGAGAAGAGAACGATTAGATTTAGGTTTGCAAGCATTTTTATTTTATTTTATTTTATAAAACGATGTTGTTTCATGGAATTTTTTAAAAATAAAAACATGCAGTGACTCCTTTGACCCCTCTGACCCGGGAGTCACTAAAACTCGGTCGGGTTTTGGAAGTCGGAGGAGTCGATATGCATATAGGGTTCAACTTGTGACCCCATCCCTCAGAGGGAAGGGATCATGGTTGACCCGAATCAATCCGAAGGGTGGGGTGAGATTTTAAAACACTGGTTATTAGTTTATTACCTAGTTGGCTAGTTACCCCGGAAATTCAGTGTTTTTCTAGAACTTCTAGATGCATGCAGCAAAACTTCTCTATTTGATATATTATTGGTCTATAAGTGAATGCCTTTTTTCTTTTCTTTTTTTACATTTTAAATAGTATTTAGATTAACTTATTCATATTTAAAATAATTTATAATAAAATATTCATAATATTTTTGAAAAATTTAAGAAAACTCATTCATGTTATTAGTATCTACTATTCTAGAAGAGCTTTTTTTTATATATAAAAAAGCTACATCTTTTATCAGTTTTTTATGAAGATTAACAAAAAACCAAATACGTATAATTGTTTTGAAAAAAAAAATATCATAAATAAAAATTTAACGGGATTATTTTGACTATTTTATTAAAAGTGAAGACTTTTCAATCTCAGCTGAGAATTAATAAATAAATAAATAAATAAAAAGGAAAAGCAAATCATTCTCTGAGAAGCCACCTCTTTAACCTATTTTTCTTTTTGAATTTTTCCAATAACGTATAATGGTAAAGGACAGAAGCAACTTGAGGTGAATTGAAATGATTTGAAGCTATGTGATTTGAGCTCATAATTAGACAACGTGCAATGAGACTTTCCATCCAAATAGCACTTATTTCAAAATTGACTGCTGGACCAAATTTCCTTTTTTTTTTTTTTCACTGCGCTCTGAAATTTAAGCAATGAAAAGAGAGAGAAAAAAAAAATGCAAGATAGGATATTCCTTTCATGCAATTTGAGTTATAATAAATATCAAACCATCTCTAGTCATCCAGTGGTTTCTTATATTATTGCTTCTCTCGTGAGCCTTATGACTGACATTAAATTCAGTTCCCCCCTCAATTAAACACACCAAACAAACAAAACAATGAAAAAAAAAATTAGCAAGTGCGCACTGCATAGCCTCTCCTTTAATTCCTATAAGGACCGATTTAATCACATACAACCGTAAAATAAAACAAAATAAAAAAAAAAGTACACACGATTTATCCTAATTCACTTTAATACATGATTATATCCAACAAACTTATTACTATATTCTTCTCAAAACATTCCTTATAATATATTCAAGAGTAAAGCCCATTTTAAAAAATATGGTCTCACTTTTATTTGTTACCAAAAAACAAAACCTATATTAGTTTTTTTTTAGGGACTAAATTGAGTTTTCATTGAATTTCTGAAAGAATGTATTTTCAAAGAACTAAAATTGTAGAGAGATCAAAAGTTGACTCTTTTTTGTAGGGGACGAAAGTGAAGACCGTATTTTTTGTTAGGGACCAAAAGAGACTTTACTCTATATTCAATTATAAGAGAATATAAATAAAATTAGAAAATTTTGTTTATTTTACATGTGTTAAGAGAATGAGTATAAAGTATGAACCATAAAAGGAAAATTCAAAAGAAAACAAAAGTCATGGGCCCTGTTTGAATACTATTTTTAAAAATAAGTTTTTGATTTTAAGAATAAAAAAAATTCATTTGATAAGACCTGTTTTATAAAAAAAAAATTATAATTGTAATTTATTTATTTTTTAAAATTAAAATTAGAGAACATATCTGAATTATGTTTATTTTATATTTTTATTTTATTTTATTTTTTAAAAAAAACACATATTTTAATAACTATTCTATAAAATAATTTTAAGAAGAAAAAAAAATCTAAAAACAATCAAACAAATTGATGTTCTTGCTTCCTTAACTCATTGGTGGATTCAAACTTAAAAGACATAATAATTTTCTCTTTTGGTGGGTCAGTTTGACTGAATTGATATAGGGTAAGGCTGGGGACCATTCACACAATTATTCTATATTATTAGTTGCCATTAGGTCTGTTTCTTGAACTCTGTATGTGTTGATTCTTTCCTGTTTTTTCCAACTGAGATTGCACTTTTGCTTTTTATTTTCTTTCTCCACTATCTTGTCTGTCAGGAAGAACTGCAGGCTTCCATAAACTTGCCATACTCCACTACCCTTTTCTGCATCCAATTTGGAATTTAAGTCTCCCAACTTTATAAATTTTATTTATTCATCACTTCCTCTTGGATGCAATTTATAGTGGTCCATTTCTCATACCTCTTCCATTCTATTTCCCACTCAGCCTCAGGCACCACTTTCTAGTTTCTACCCCTTGTCTCATTACTTCTTCTTGTGCTATCTCAAGGCTTTAGTAGCCAAATGAGAGAAAAAAAAAAGTTTGTTACTTTCTGACACCATCTTTATGGCATTAGTGTTTTAGTGCCTCAAAAATGCTTGTCTTGTATTGGCCACACCTAAAGCCTCAAACTTTAAGCCTCACAACATCATATCTCGAGAACCCACTTTTTTCTTTTTTCTTTTCTGTCACTTTGAAGTTCCATTAGAGATTATAACAACTATTTGCTTCTTTGGCCTTTGGAATCTTCAGTTTCTTTCCATGAACAAACCCCAAATTGAAATTGCCATTCCTCAGTTGTTTAGATGCCCCATCAGTCTAGACTTGTTCGAAGATCCAGTGACTTTATGCACAGGCCAAACCTATGACAGGTCAAGCATAGAAAAATGGCTAGCTGCAGGTAATCTCACATGCCCTGTAACAATGCAGAAGCTTCATGATCTTTCTATTGTTCCCAATCACACTCTACGCCATTTGATTGATCAGTGGTTTCAATTGGATCCCCAATTTGACCCTGGTAACTCTGCTACTGTTGATTATTTAACAGCAATAAAGCACACCCTTGAATCTGAAGAGGCCACCTTAGAAAACAAGCTCCAAGCACTTGAGAAAATTAGAGTTCTTTCTGATGAGTATTGTTCTTTCAAAAAATCTTGTTTCCACCAATTGAGTCTCTTGCCTCTACTTTTGGAACTAGTTTTTGGAAGAGAAGATGCTCAACTGTCAAAAAGTCACATGGAATTCAAGGAACTAGCACTTTCTTGCATTCTAAAATTGTTGCCTCTTGTGAGTTTGGTGCCTCTAAATATGATCAAAGATGAGTCTAAATTAGCAACATTTCTGCTATTATTTGAAAGGGGAACTAGCTCGGTTAAGACTAGTTTATGTCATGTAATAGATTCAACAGCAGCATTGCAGACAGAAGAGGTATGTTATGTGCTTGGAAAGTCTCACAAACTACTGCATGAGATTATTCTACTTGTTAGCCAAAATTGTGAGGTTTCTAAGGCTGCAATCAAAGCCTTGTCAGCATTATGTTCCTTGCAATCTAATAGAGAGAGTTTAGTGAAGGCAGGAGCAATAGATGGAATCATAACATACATTTCAGGTTCTGAAACAAGACAGAAAAACATGGCTCCAGTGGCAATGGCAATAATAAAGAAACTTTTGGTGCTAGAGAGTGCTAAAGAGGCATTGGTGAATCACCCAAATGGTATTCAAACTTTGGTGAAAATGGTTTTCAGGGTATGTAATCAAGAGTGCAGTGAGAGTGCTGTTGGGATACTTTCAATTCTTTGTCTTGATTTCGGGCGTGCAAGAGAGGAAGCCATTGAGTCTGGAATTTTGACTCAGTTGTTGTTTCTTCTGCAGAGTCAGTGTGGAACCAAAACCAAAACGAAGGCAAGAATGCTGCTCAAGTTGCTAAGATCCAAGTGGAATGAGGAACCAAAGTAGGTGTAGATTGTGAAATGTGAATAATAAAATATCATTAATCAGTATTTGATGACTATGTGGGGTCTTATTGTGGGCTTGTGGCTGTGCAGTATTTGTTCCCATTTACTTCGTGATCTTTATATATATATATATATATATATATATATATATATATATATATATATAGGGAAATAGTTTTCTCATTTTACATGAGAAAATTTTCTTATGCTACACTCACAATACATGAGTGGATTCTATCTTGACTTTTTTGTTTTATCACCTTTTTGTGGACCCCACTCATGTATTGTGTGTGTAACATGAGAAAATTTTCTCATGTAAAATGAGAAAATCAATTCCCATATATATAATCAGGAATTTGAAACTAAGTTTTGACCTCTTTTTCTTTTTTATTTTTTTTGTGTGGAGAATTTGACCTCACTTTCTAGAATTAGGGAGCGCACACAAGTAAAAAATCCTTTACTTGTACGGTTTGATTGCATCCTGCAAATTTTCTTATATTTGATGGAGATGATGAAAGAATTCTAGCTCTGAAGTTTTATTGGCCTAAAATGTTATGCTGTTATGCTATTATAGAGATTTATAGAAATTTTCAAGTCATGTAAAAATTTAGCTTTTATTTGATTGAAAAGATAAAGTAAAGGAGATGTTCTAAGATATACCGCCAAACAATAAAATTGGGCAGAAATAAAAAATAAAGAAAGAATTTATTCTCTCATATTTTATTTAACATCTTCTTATATTTTATTTAACATTATATGATTATATAGAAGCAGTGGTGGATCCAGAATATTTTCTTTATGTCTGCACAATTGTTTTATTTTTTATTTTAAAGATCATCATGATTCAATTTTTGCTTCTACTTCAAAAGTAAAGCTTTGGTGAATCAACCAAAATTTTAAGAAAATAATAGATAATGATAATTAAAAAAAAATAAACACCGCAAAAAGAAATTTGTAAAATATAGTATAATTGTAAGGGTTAATCAATAAAAACCCACATTTGTCAATGTTTATTTGATCTAAAGTTGGTCACTTTTGTTTTACAAAAAAAAAAGTGAAAAATTCTGTGAGATTTTTCTCCACTCGATGTAGATTGAATTTCAGGAATGTTATGTTTATTAAGATTTGGAGCTAATAAGATTTATATATATGTATATAAAAAAAAGAGACAAAGCAATGAGCTAGGGTTTAAGCTTTAAGCTTTTAATTGTAGGGTTGGTTGCGTTCGGCATATTTTTACCTTTTTTCTTTAATCTTCCTATTTCTTTTTTTTCTTACTTGACTTGAAGCACCCATATCATGTGAAAAAAAAAAAATTCTAACTTTGTGTCTGCAAATGCAGACACTGGCACTAACATCCGTCCGCCGTTGTATAGAAGAATCACAAATTATATAAAGGTAAATCAACGAATTTTATATTTATTTTTTAATAATTCTTTTCTCCTTTTTTTTATCACGTGATTATGATTCCTTAACATGGTCGTATCATTTTAAATAAGATATATGATCCATCAAGTACATGATTAGTTTTTCAGTGCAAAAATCGGCATTGTAGGAGCACATGATTAGTTTACCTGCTTTATGTCTTTAGAGAGAGAAATAGTTGTGCAGATTGACTTTCTAAATATCTTTTATACTATTTTGTTGAGAATAATTTTTGTATTTTTTCAAACCATCCCCTGATATTTGACCTTTGTATTTGGCTGATTTATCTTTATCTTGTAATTTCAGAACGATTTTATTAAATTGATCTCTTTAGGGTGTTGTTAATTCCCTTATATTACCAAAAAAAAAATAAGTATTACCATATCAAAAAGAAAAAAAAATATAAAAAAATAATTATAGACACAGAGAAATATAAATATATATTTTTTTTATTTGATAGAGTATGAATAGTGCCAAAAATATTTTCACACCTTGTCCTTAGGATGTCATTGTGTACTATACGATTCCATTCTCGATGATGGGATGTTTGGCAGAGTTTGGCGGAATTGATGTTGTAACCTCCAATGTAGTACAAAGCAATGCTGAAGTGACTCAAGTGAGTTTAATTTTAATTTTTTTTGTCCTATATTTAATATTTGGGCCTCTCAAAATTTACATAAACCTTTAATTATATGCATTATATTTAATTTTTATTATATAAATAGTTGTAATAAAATTACATTACAATTTTACCTTCCTCCAAAAATATTTCTGACTCCCCAATTGGTGCAAACTACAATCACCAAGAGTATGCATGAAAACTATTTTATTTTATAACATTATTTTTAAAACAATTCATTTTTATTTATGTGCTTTCGAACAGGTTATGAGAAAAAAATATATTTGATAACATATTCTATTTTTATTTAAAGAATGAGAATTGTATTTGACAACATAACAAATAATAAAATAAAAAATCATTTATATTAAGCTTAAAAGTTTTTGGATCATCATTTTCCTTTTTATATGGTTGTGGCATAGTGGCGGCAGTGGTGGCGTGGTGATGGTGAAGGTAGTGGCTGTGGAGATGGTGGTGATAATGGTGATGATGGTGGTGGTAATTATGGCGATAGCGTGATGATAGCAGTGGCGATGGTGGTGGTGGTTGTTGGTGACAGTGGTGGTAGTAATGACAGTGGTGGTGGTGATGGTGGCACGATGGTAGTGATGATAGGGGTGGCATCGTGGTGATGATGAAGGTAGTGGCTGCGGAGATGGTGGTGATAATGGTGGCAATGGTGGTGGTAATTATGGCGATAACGTGGTGATAGCAGTGGCGATAGTGGTGGTAGTTGGTGGTGACAGTGGTAGTAGTAATGGCGGTGGTGGTGGTGGTGATGGTGGCACGATGGTAGTGATGATAGGGGTGGCATCGTGGTGGTGGTGGTGGTGATACGACTATAAAACTCTGTGTGCACCCGGTGTATTAAACATCTAAGTGGTAATAAGCGTAGCTCAATAAATGCGGAAGCTAATAATTTCCAATTATGATTCATTCAAATTAACCAAGTGAATCTTTTTCAAAATTGCCTGTATGTAAATTGCAATGAATAACTAAATTGAATAACCTCATAATATGAATAATGTATTAAGTCATGGAACTACAACACGTAGACCAGACATGTCCTGATACAATAATACAACTCTAGGCTGAGTAAACACATCTTATTCAAACGTGGCATGGACAACCCTCATGCTTACCAAATAAAGCAACATAATCATCAAGTCATGTCTCAAGTACAAAAGTCATAAAGATATAACAGCAAGGCAGAAATCATAATGACAAAGCAAGGTGCATGCATCAACTTAACTCCACTCCGGCCTCCTACCACTAGAGGTCTCAACCTCAGAAGTACCTGTACCTGAAAATATGCCCTACACGGGGTGAGATCTCTAACAAGAAATCTCAGTAAGACAATGGGTCCTTAAGGATCTCTCCACTCCAAGCTCACTTATATGTGCAATATAAGTTCAAAAATGATAACAATAGTATAATGGAAAAATCTTGCAATGCAACATATGTCCATGTCATGTGTCTATGCATCTTACTGGCCAGAGAACAAAATACAGGCATTACGTACGTCTACGACCCACAATACAAGGAGTCCACCATGTACCTTACACACGGAGTTACCATCTTGCATGTGGCCGACATGCTCAAGGATTACCGTCACGTGTGGAATACCCCACATAGATATACATATGGCAAATGCACTATAATAATAATCTAGCTCAACAACATATCCAATATTCATCATGTAAACAGATATATTTTGAGAAACACAACATGCATGTAAACCATCCCTCCATTAGGTTTGGTGGAACCATCAATGGGTAAAATCGAGGACACGAAAGCTTAACTGCGGTGCCAAAATCTCTATCCAAATGCTCGGTATACACAGGTACACCAACAGTCACACAATTCGACAATTGCAATCTGTTTTATATCAAAACATTATTAATATTCAGAATCCCAAATTTCATATCAATTGAGCAATGTTTTCTTTTTTTGTTTAGTGACTCAAGTCCCTCATAAACCATAATTATAGCACATTAACCCTCACTATTATTTGCATTTATTCTTTCGATAGTAGCATTAACTCCCTAGGGTATCATACCCTAATTGGGGCTTCGTTATGCATCAGAACTTGTTTCTGGCCTTTATGACACGGGGTAATTGATTACCATATAGGGGGTAATCAATTACTCCACACAGTAATCGATTGCCATAAACAGGGTAATCGATTACCATACAAAGGGTAATCGATTACCACGCGGACAGTACACAAAAAACTACAGATTTTTCTGCATAATCCGCTGGTTCCATGGCTTCTAAGGGTCCAAGGTCTAATTTTTCATCAAACAGAAGTTCAAACCACATGATTAAACATAGATATACCATATTTTACATGAATCATTAAGGTTCCCCTTTTTACTTCACAAACTAAGTCATTTTCAAGAAAATACAAGGGGAATGGTTTATAGTTACCTATAGCCCTTTGAAAACAGAAAAATGAGGAAGTTTTGAGGACTTTAAAGGTGCTTCAAGCTACTGACTTGGTGGTGCACGAAAATCCCACTCAAATGTAGGTCCTTTTTTCACAAAGTTTGGTTCTTGAAGCTTCCTAGAGTATAATCATGGTTCATACTCTAAGAACTCAAGTGGTCCGCCCTTCCTTTCATGCAAACAGAATCTCAACTCTCCAGACATGGTTTCTCTCTCTCAAGGCTCAAGCTTTACAATGTTTAATGGTGGTTCTATAGCATAAGAGTGGAGAAATATGGAGAAATGTGATTTCTTGGCTAGGTTTAATGCAAAATGCTCAAGTGTTCATGAAGGAGGAGACGTAGCAGCCATGAGGATTAACCTTGGGGTCTGAAAACTGACCTAGGACTTTGTGTAAATGGCTATTTATATAAGTGTGTCCATTAATCACACTATTAGTTCTAATAGCTCTGCTAATCATTTTTCTACCAAACTTTATATTCTGAACCTAGACATTTTTCTAGGAATTATCAAATTTTTATTATAATTTGTCAAAACACTTCAATGGTATGCATTTTATATATAGTCGGTATTAGTTCTGACATCACTGCTCATTGTTTTTACCCCAAACTTGATATCCTTGACCTAGATATTTTTATTATAATTTTTTAAGATACTTTATCGGTACGCATTTATATCGTGAAGCAGAATCGGTATCTGCACTTTTCATCATAAAAGCGATTTAAGCGTTATTTGACCTTCTCGATAATTATCCTAATCTTTCTATATTTATCCAAAGTCAAATATGGAATTATTTTCTAAACTCATAATTAAATCATTTAAATTCGTAATTTTAAGGGTGCAGGTTCTTACAACGACAACGGTGGTGGTACGACAATGGTGGCAGTGGTCATATCGGTATGGTGGTGGTGGAGAGTGATTGAGAGAGACAAGTATTTCTTATTTTGTGCCCGTGAATACAACAAAATAGAAATTGTTTATTTTTTTTTCTGTTTCCCAGCACAAAAAATTGACTGTTCATTTTCGAAAACAAAAAAATAAACCGATTTAGTCAAATATTATTTCTATCCATTTCTGCTCCCGGGGACAAAAATTAAAAAAAAAAACTAATTATTGAAAGGTTATCATGCACACCCTAAAGTGATATTAATTTCTCTTACTATTTTTTATCAGAAAAATATTTCTGTAATTAATGCAGATAACTTATTTGCATTTACTCCCAAAACGACGTCGTTTTGAGATTGAAAGATTAAAAAATAATAATTATAAAGACTATAATAATCTTGAAATAAATTAAAATTATAAAAACATCATGATTTCCGACCAAAATGACATCATATTGAATTTACTGTAGATAACTTATCTGCAGTAACTGCAGAAAAAAAAAAATTTGTTGGATAGAGATTTCTCCTACTTTAACTACAACGTAATTCTGTTACATTTAATGGCAAGAGATATTTGTCTTTATCGTTGGCGGATGGTCATATCAATATTTTTTTTAAAACAATATAAATTTAAGTTTTTCTTATTTTCTCATATATTTTTTTCACTTTTTTATACTGATTTTAATTATTTTTTTAAGTAATACTAATTTTACAAATACAAATTATTCTTAAAGATATACTTTTTAGTTTCAACATTTGTAAATACAAATTTTATTATTTAAAGAAGTTCTTTATAGTAAAACCAATTAATCTTTAACGGCTAAAGCACGAAATAATTCAAGCCAGAATAAAATTGCAGGTATGTGCTATCCATTCATTATAAATTTAGCCCTCTAGTTTAATCTACGATCATCTCTCTAATATATATAGTCATATTGAGTATGCTCTGCACTAGTTATAGATATGGATCTTGTACAACAGAAAAATTATGGCATGAAGAATGATTATTTGCTATGGTCATTATATTTTTCAGATGAGTTTGGTAAGGTCTCCTATTAACATAGAGGAAAAGACATTGAGCAATAGGCTATGGTTTGCCGCTGTAAATTCCGATTTGGCCTATAAGTACTCTAATGAAATTAAAAAAAATTCCAACAGAGATAGTCTCAGTTATGAGATTCTAAAAAATACAGTGATTCATAAGGGCCGTCTTAATTCATATGGCTTGACGGTCTGTTGATAATAAGCATTTGGAATGCAAAAGGTTGTCTTATATATTTCTTCTAGCCGAATACCCAATTGCCAAGAAGTTGCTTTCTGATCAAATTTTGAGAACACATGGACTTCACTAAACTGAATAAATTAGACTAGGTATCTTTGGAAATAAGAACTCATCATCTCTAAGAAAATAATTAAGAGGCTTGAAATCAATCACTAATCTCTTTTTATATGACATAATATACATGATACTAAAGCATATATAAAATACATACTGTAATGCCTATTAACATAATAGGTAAGTGCATGGCTATATTATTAAATATGTATGACTAATTAACTAGTTATAATACACAAAACTGATTAGACTACATAATCAAAGAAAACGACATATGATAATCACATTAGAAATTGCGTTTGATTTGACAATGATAGAGTCACTTTCTTGGCTATATTGGTTCAAAGAATGATTTTATATAATTGAGTTATAAAAATAATAATTTAAATGCTTCGTCATGAGAGCCCACTGTCCCAATTCTTTGACAAAATTGAATATGAGAACAAGCTTATACACAAAAGTTATATTATCTTATGCTATGTAATGTTGGTAAAATGACCCCGTAACCTAATCATGTTAATAATTTTATGTGAAGGACAAGTGTTGCAATCAAATCAATAGAAACTAGTGGGTTACAGTTAGATTATATATGTGATAGCCATATCTCTTTCGTTCATTTGATGCATTAATTTCTACTTCCTCTTTACCCTGTTGGAGGTACTTTATTTAAGAAACAAAAATAGAGTCACATCCCCATGATACGAGGCACGTAAAGGATCATCATGCGTCTTTTGATTTTAGGTTGAATGAATTGGGGGCACTAATTAAGATGATTTCAAAGGACAAATTCCTTTTCCACCTTTTTCCTTAATTTATTGTTATGTCCTTTTGGATTTTCTTTCTTATTTTTTTACTCCAAACAAAACAATTCGATTCCATCCTTATAGTGATTTAACTCAACGTGAGAACTTTTCCTAGGAGCAGGCATGTAAGTTACATGCATGACTGTGTAGGGTGAGTGGTGATTGCCCACCTTTGAAGAGTCCAGCACATTTTTGTGGACCAGAAAGAGAAGCACATGTCCTCCACCCAACCCATTACAACGCCAATTGGAAAATAAATTTGAAAAAAAAAATCATAATTTTAATATGATCATTTGACTTAAAAAATTTAAGTCATTAAATAATAAATAACAATTACCATTTTTTATTTTGCATACTTTATTA